GGCGAAAAATAACGTCACACGTGACACGATCGGTATGTTTTTTTTTTTTTTTTTTTTTCATAATATGTCTCATCGGTCTACTGTTACGGTGCTTTTTTTATCTTCCTCCTTCGTGGGTCACGATCAATATTTAAATTCCAATGAGGCGCGTTATGTACCAATGTGATAATCATCGCGCAAACGCGTGCTTAGTCACGCTTGTAGTTCATAAATAATCATCACCTCCGAAACACAACAAACGAACGAGTAGGTCGTACAATATGACGTTACAGTTACACGAAGCAAAAAGTATGTAGCATCGGAGGGGATGAATAAAAAATACGAGAGGGTGAAGGATCTGCGAGCGGTGCAAAAGTGTCACGGCTTATGTGTACCTACAACGGTGCACTTGTGTTGTACATGTAATACAGAGAACTCGGAGTGGCGCGCACAGTGGCAGTGGCCGAGTTACGCGATTTCGCGGCCGCTCGCTCGCACACGCGTACTTATATATATATACACGCGTACACGATAAAAGAAAGGCTTCGCGAGGCCTGAAAGCGCTATAAATATATACGTGGCGTCGGAGCAAAGCCGATTGATTTTTCACGGCTCTCGCGTACGCGTTTCAAAGGGGGTTGGGCTATATCGATCGGCGACAGGGGGCTGAGTCGTAAAGTGCAACTATTTGATGGCGACGGAGGGAAAAAAAAAAAAAAAAAGAAAAATAGCACGAGAAAAGGTTGCGCAAGAGCGTTGTACGTTGTTTTTATAGCAAAGAAAGAAAGAAAATGTAAATTCATCGGTTCATGGATGTTGGCGAGGCAACGATTATCGGCACGAAAACTGTAACGATAGCAAGTGCGGCACGGCGTAGAGAGGCGAAAGGGGGGTTGTTATACTTTCTAGCGGAGTGTATAATACACGTTACCCGAGAGCCGGATGAAGGTCAATGAATGGGCTCGTAAACCGTACGGGTACAGTAGTGTGTGTGTGTGTACGCGCATGTGAGGCCTCTTACCGGTTTATGTACGGGCCTATCGCGCTTGTATAGTTACGTTATACGTGGTAGATATTACATATATATGTGTGTACACACATTTTAGAATACGTAAGCGCGTGCCGGTACACGGAACCGAAAAATCCATACGGCGTTGGATCTTCCGTGGAACCGTTAGCCACGATCTCTTGCCTGTGTACCTTATATTCCGTCTAATGAAAAAAGAAACGGTAAACTACGCGCTAGGGGCCGAGAGAGGGACCGTGTAGCTGTAAAGCTGCAAATAGATACACATACACGTGTGTACGTAACGATGTACATAATACCACATTATGGGAGGACGGTTGTTTCGGAGCGAGTCGTCCTTGAAAGCTATCGGGGCGAGATTATTCCGAGCGGCCGTTTGCAACAACCTGTTGCACGCTATTTCCAATGGGCCTATACGCGTAAGTATACATCTACGATACAGTTTCATTGATCGGTATGACTATGAATTCCGTGTTGGCGAGAGGCAAACCATATGTTATATCTCCGTTTCCCTTGACACAACCCAGCTCGTGGAACGTCGATACGTGCACGATCTATTTGCGTTCCGCCACCCTCCCAAGAGTATTTTCACCCCAGTCCTCCCACTTGTATTTATTTACCACCGCGCGTATAAAGTATCGGTATAATTATACAGGTCAATCATAAAGTGGCGTCCCGATAAACGCGGTGCTCTCGACCATCAGACGGCCGAGATTAATCGGCCTATTCATCCGTGACACCTGTTGTCGGAGGCGAATCGAGCCGACTGCCTTGTATACAAGTATATCTTATATATATTGTATACAACACGGCTGCAGTTTTGCTCCACTGACATTGCGCCCGATAGAGCATTGTGTATATATATACACGTGCCGAGATATTATATAGCGCCAAGTGCAAGTCGTTCGTTTATATGCGGGGGCAAAGTGGGCCACGTACATATATATATATGCCTATAGGTATATTTATTCATTGCTGCATAAGGTATTTTACATGTATGTATACATACAAACGAGTGCCAACACATCCTCGACATCTTTGTCTCTCGTTGTTTGCCCTTCGCCTCCTATACCTACATATATATGTATATAAATACGTACATACTATATACCCACACACATCACACAGTGTAATACACCGGCACAGCGACGTAACCCACTTCTCGCTTATATCATCCGTCCATATACAATACCCGCTATCGAGTAATACACGCGCGCGCAACCGAGCGAGCGCAAAAAAAGCAGCGAGAGACACGGCACACGAGTTTCTGCAAATTAGGCCGTGGCCCACTTTTCTCGCCCCGCTTGTGTATATATATATATATATATATATATATACACGTACGTATGTGTATGCGGCTGTGCGCGTGCGATCGCCAATAGGGGCGAAGGGGGGGGGGAAGAAGCGCAGTACCGTTTCAAGGATCGCGATCGATCGCCGCCACGTGCTCCGTTGCTATACATGCACGTACCCACGAGTTTATAAGTCACTTTACCACTATTACTACTTTACCATGTATATATATATTTGTACTTTGGTGCTGGGTTGATCGCTGCACGAATGTGTAGGCACAGTGGACGAAACTGGATTTTTCTGTCTGACAGAGGGACCCCCAATAATAGTTAATAATGTTGTTCGTCATTTTAATTATCAATCGGAGTAATGACAATATAACTAACTCATTTGAGTGTCGCTAGATCTGCTCTTGATTACCATCTAGGGATGGTGATGTCAAAATTAATAATTGCGCATGTACTAGCCGATAAACGGACGAAGGGATAAGAGAGGAGATACATCTTCGGCGCGTTGAAATATGTACAGTTGGAAATCTAATGCCCGCGCAAGCGTGTGTATTCTATAGTATATACTTGAAAGTATGAGTCGGTGATGGGGTAATTATCTTATCTGTGGAGTCGACGATTGTTACGAAAATGCGGTGTACACACCAAGCTTACGGCATAATTGGGTTGTATTTACATGTACATAGGGAATATATATATATATATATATATATATACACACAGCTGTACAACATGCGTCAGGGTTCTTTTGTGCCACGCTGTTTTGGTGTCCATGGTCCATTTAGCCTACACACATATATACATATACCCCCATCTCTTTCTCTAGAGCATGGTAATACTAAACGATGACACACTTATGGTATGCTGGTGTGTATCGAGTCATCGAACTATTACTATTTACTTTTACTAATTACTTTGCTATCATTCCACGAAGCGTGTACGCGACAGCTCATCGTGTTAAGTCATAATGTATCGACTCGTGCAACGTTCACTGGTGAATCAGCATCAAGGGTACACATGTGGACAAGGTTTTCCGCGACAACTACTAAGCTCGTAAAAATAAAAAATAAAAAAATAAATAAAAAAAGAACCTAATCGAGGAAGTTGCCTTCGATCACAAAGTGTGCGTGGGAGTGGGGTGAGAGGGAGGAAGCAACAATGGCACTGATACTACTTTACGGATTCGCGGATCTGGATCAATGTCGAGCGATAGTTCCGCTCGTCGCGCTAGCAAGTGTAACAGACATATATACACATACAGGTATATCGCGTATACTTTAGCATGGGTATATACGTAAGTACACGTTGGTGTAGTGGCGAGGTTTATTTATCGATGCGCGTCGACCTCCTTTTTTTCTTTTTTCTTTTTCTTTTTTTTTTTTTTTTCCCCTCCATCGAGAAGGTTA